AATATGGGCCTTGAAAAGCCCCATCTCAGCGTGTGTGTGTGTGTGTGTGTGTGTGTGTGTGTGTTTTGCACTGCCAGGTTGTTCCCTGTCTCATCGTGACACATCTTCAGTTTGTTGAATTAAAGGAAACACATGTTGACACACACAACACGCACGGTAAATAAAAGATTCTATTGAAATGCAGCACTACGACGAAAAAGGATTCTCTTCCACTACTGTAATCCCTGAGAGAGTTCTCAAAGGCAACAGAAAGCGAGGGAAAGGAAGTGTAATCTGTTAGTATAATAACAGATGGGATGATCTGGCCAGGAAAGTAGGAAAACAAGTGCTTTTACAACCGTTCTGTGACATGAATTTACAGTTACTGTAGAGGAACTTTGTCTTTCCAAAGCATACGTCATCTGCATTCAAATTCCTCATCACTAGGATTGTTTTTGGCATCAGGTATCTAGAAGGAAACCATAAAACAAACCACCAAATACATGAACATGATTGTCTGCCACTGTAAATATCACTTTACAGCTAAAGAAAATAATTTATGTGTTCAGTTACGCTTGTATTCGCAAACTCTCAAAACTGACTTATAGGATCCGGTAAAAAAAATCCCCCATTACTTTATGACAAATGATGTGTGTTTGTGATCTTGTTTCATTTCACTTTCATTCTATGTGAAGCAAGAGGAGTGTGTGTTTATCCTGGAGGCAATCACTTCCAAACTATGTGTTCTTACTTCAGAATAGAACCGGGCAGAGGCGTGTCTGCTGCGAGACTGCTGGAGTGTGTGTGTGCTTGTGTGTGCGCGTGTTTCAAGGCCACAGGTTTCCTGTTGATGCCAGGCTGTCAGGAATGCCTCCAGCTGGGGTCAGAGGTCAAAGGATGTGTGTCACTGTCGCTTCCCCTCTCTCCGCAGCAGCCTGTGATGCCCCTCCACACAAATCCTGTGCCACGCTCACACCGAAAGACATTCATTCATAGAGAATGCAAGTTCAAAGCACGTATCTACTGCTGCTTATCTAATATGTATCTTCACCTAGATATGTTTCAAGTGAAAATCATTTTTATATATGATCTGCCAAAGTACTACTACTGTAAAGTCAGAATATTGGTAAAAATCACACCAAAATAAAATGTAAAAATATGATCAAGATCCTGTATGGAGACCATGTCCAAACTAGTCCAATAGGTGCATGCGGTCAACTCCTGTTTACATTTTTGTTTAAGCAAAGAAAAAGTTCATCATTAAGGCTTTGCAGCTGCATCATAAATCTCCCAGCTACCACATCTGGCAACATCAGGAGGGTCCATTATGAAGTGGAGAGGAAGAACTGTCTTCACTAATAAATTCATTATTGTAATATTTTTTAAAGTAAAGGGAAAGTCTGATAGTCTGTTCAACAGTGTCAACTGGACTAAAATGAGTTTTCATTGTGAAGTGGCCACAGGAAACACAATGTGTTTTTTACTGAGGTTAGCCCATTGACAGTATATATAGGGTTAGCCACTGTCACAAAATTGCACTTTCTGCATTTATTTTGACAGCAGCTTATTTTAATATTGAGTAAAGAGGCTGAAGACCTCTGAAGGTAATAAACTCCTGTTGTATAATGCTGTTGTGTAGAAAACTACTCACACCATGCACAGCATGAAATCAGACTGTGCTTGCAATTTTTATTGACTGACTTCCTTATTGAAACAATGAGTTTGTTTGGTTGCACTATAAACAGATACACCAGCTGCTCTCCTGTTGTATTTCTGTTGTATCTGCTCAACAAGTGTTTCCTGTAGTATTAAACCGCACTTACTGTTACCACAGTAACCATGGGTGTTGCCAAATCAACAGACTTGCCAATCTTAAGGATTACCACTTTAACTGAGCAACTTAGGCGGTTGTCAGTCAGTGTTATCAAAGCTCTGTCAGCCTCCAGTATGGCTTCCTAAAGCACACATATAGTATGGCTTGACATCTAACGACATGCCAATAAATGAGGCCACAGGAGTGGGACAAGGCACACTCACATGGCAATCCCTAAGATTGCAACCTCTTTAGGAGGTCCTAATCCATGGGTAAGATGTCTTTTCTCTATCCCCCTTATTGCATGGTTAGGCCACATTTCACCCCAAAAATGATGATGGAATGTTCAAAAAACTCACATAGCAAACTGCGCACAAGTAACTGGATGTGTCCCATAACGCTGAGCAAACAGGAATGCAGGGAGGTGTCTGGGGTCATCAGATAGGTCAGGAAGGTCATCCAACATGATGGATGTTTATCTACCAGAGTGAAGCTGTTTAGATTTTTCTCTTATACAGACAGAAATGTACTGCTGCAGTGTCACAGTTTACCCCTTCGCCCTAGAGATCACGGTTTCTATCCCTGTGGTGTGCCAGTGGGTCTGTGTTAAGTGTCAATGCCCTGGTTAGTCTAGTCCATGGGGACAGGAAGTGCACTGCTACGAGAGCTCAAGTCCCTTATTTGTTTTTAGAAAGTGTGTGCATACGCGTGCCTCTTGCTTGTATATCCTAAGGGAAGCACACACACTAACACACACATACGTCATGCACACACTAAATCTAATGGGTGGGTACTGGGAATGTCTGAGGCAGGATGCTGGCTCTAGGAGGAAACCCTGTTCAGAGCTGCCCTGTGAGAATTGTGGAGTAGCGTGCCTAACCTGAAACAAACAGACATGAGTCACCTGAGCATGTGTTACAACTGAGCATTGTAAAAACTAGTTTAAAAGCCACAGAAAGGTCTAAAAACAATAGATAAACTGTTAATAGCTAGGTAAAAGAAAGACACTTAGCTTAATGTAATCAATAAACACTTCATATAGCTAGTTAGCTAGCTAAAAGGTAATGGATAAATAGTGAAAAAGCTAAAAGTAGTGCAAAAATATAATTTTTTTAGAATTAATAGTGTTAATAAAATGTAGTTTAACAGCAGTTCAAATGAACACACTGAACATGTCGGGTGGTGTCAGTTCATCTGACAGGTTTGTGGGGTTCAGCTGACCTCTCCCTTTATTATTACTCTGGGACTAAAATAACAAAAATCAATCAACAATCAACAGCATGACATTATATTTTCACTCAAGACCCAAATGTGTTTACCACTCCCTATGAGTACACACACTTCTATCTTCCCATGCGCACACACACACTCCAGTAAGACAAAAGACACATATCCTCTGCATGTGACATCTATCAGAAGCCAGGCTGAGCTCCATATCCTCCCCATGATCCGTCAACTAGAGAGGCAACATCCTCTGGCTGCAGCGAGGGGAAGCTGGCCTCACTGTGACTCTCCGCTCTGCAACAGGTAACACCCCAACTCCAAATCTTTGCACCAATGCTTTGCAAACTCCAATCACTGTTTTCCACTTTTTGATCTGCGTGCAAGGAAGTAAAATTTCTCTGTCAGGTAAGAGCTCCCGCCTGAAAGATAAGACATCTTCATATGCATGCAGCAGAGAGTATTTCTGATGAGTGTAAAGGTCTCTGACAGTTTTTCCTTTTCAGGTATCTCTTGGGAAAGTCTTCTAGGCACATTTTCCTTCTGCCTGACTAACGGATTTGCCAACGGATTTGAAGGGAGAGTGAGAGGAGCAGACAGCACCAAACAACACGGACTCACTTTAAAGAAAAGAAACGGGGGGAAAAAAGAAACAGGGAATGATGATGGAATTGAGGATCCAGCTGATCCCGACAGGGGAAATTATCCTTCCTCCGGGGAAAAATGGAGAAAACTATTGCCACAACTGCAAGGTCAGTTCACACACTGGGGCCAGATCTGGAGTCAGATTTTTCCGCTCATCTTTCATTCCAATGGGTTTTATTCAGCTCAGTGGGTAGAAATTGATGCTGACACAGCTGAGGTTATAGGGTTCATCTCCCTCAGGGATGAGGTTGAGATACATTAACATATTTTAAGAAGCGTAAATTGCTTCAGAGTATATTGTCTGTCATGTAAACTGCACTGATAAATCAGGCCAGCCGTGGTTAGTAAATAAGTTTAAATACCGCTGGCCTCAGAGCAGTGTTCTCAGAATTATAATAAGCACATAGTTAATTATACATGTGCCTCTGTGGACTCTTACTCATACAGAGTGTGATATTTAAACACTTAATTGACATGAATAAGATGGGATTTATGCAAAGCCAAATCCATGCAGCATAACTACAGACACCAGTACAGAACTGTGCACGTGTTGAAGAGAGCAGATAGGAACCTTCTTTAAAGAGTTCAAAGTTCAGAGTACCTAAAATATCAAATCCCACATTAAAAGTGTATGAAAATGTGAGCCTGCAACACTATATGGTGATGCACATTGCATTTCAGGGTCTCATTAGAATTCCTTATTTCCACTGATAACTGAACAAACAGACTTCATGTCACAGCAAAATACGTTCAGTGCTTCTACAGTTGAGAAGGCAGGATTACTGTCTCACAGTATGAATTATAGAGATGACATTTTGGGTCAATGTTTTCTTATAGAAGAAGAAGAAATACTGATTTTTGCACCAACTGTAGCCTCAACAGACCACAATCTGCCATATGGGCTGTTGCATTAAAGCTGCTATAATAAATATTGTTATATTAACAATGGGATTCAGCAATGTGCTGTGATACCCACAGAGAATTATCACTAACAATTTCAGCTCTCCTCAGCTCTACAGAGGGTTTTAGCATCTTTGAATTTGTTGTTTTGGTTCAGTCTCACCACTCTCATCAGCAGCTGTTTTAAGTAAAACAGCTTCTAAAATTGTGCACTACCCAACCAACACGAAATGGTAAACAACAAAGTTAGACAATAGCTGGTGAACACAGTATAGCATTTAGCAGCTAAACATCTAGACTGGAGACTGAAAGCAGAGCTAAAAAGAGAGCCAAGAATATTGGACTTATATTTGTCAGGTGGCCAGAAACATGACATGGCAAATGAATGCTAATGTTGCTCTGCGTCTGCTGGATGTGTAAATAGGCAATCAGCAACGTTACAATTAACAACTACACCGCTATATGTCACTAAATCCAACATACTGGTCCCTAAACGCGTGGCCCACTATGATCAAGCTACATACAAGGTGATTCCCACATTACAAGCATTTATTGAAAGCTGAAAAAATATTTTACTCTCAATTTTACACATAATAGTCATTTTATTTATATATTAATTTAATATTAATATATTTATTATATATATTTTAACGTATAAGGAGAACTCAGACATCCACAGGTCTAAAACATCTTGAAATGTGTTACATACTTGATGTTGTCTTATGTGGGAGTCTAGTAATAAAGACAGCTGATGTTTAATATATATATGTATGTATATATATATATACATACATATATATAAAGTATCTAAGGAATGAAGGGAGTGGGCTTTTAAAATCAATCTTCCTGTGGTATAAGGTACCATTTGGTACAGTAATGCGGGGGCTGACACAGGACTGCGACGTATAGTAAGAAGAATGTGGTGTGGTTAATGCAGCCTGCTGTGTGCTGGTCAGTGATGATTGGGGAGGTGAGGAATGTACTGTAGCCTGGACGGGAGGAAACGACAAAGACATTCCAGTACACAGCTTCATTTTTTCCCCTTCCCACATTCCTCCAAGGTCAAATCACCCTCCGTCTCTGGATGTGTGTGAAAGATGTGTGTGTCGGGGTCATCAATTGTTTACTAATCTGTGACCAAGACCCTGTGACCTTTGCATGTCATTTAACATTTGTAACATTCTTATACTGACTATATTTCTGGGGAAGATGACTGATGTAATTGCGTGGGGTTTAAATGGAAATTTAGTTTCCAAATACATGGATGAAAAGCTTCATTCTCCCTTAATTATAACAACATACATTTCAATAACAAGTCAGTAAGGTGAAGTTCTGGTATGTTAGACAAAGAAAATATTGTGCACATAATTGGCTCTGAAACAAATGAAAAGATGTGTGTGTGGCTACGTTTTGGCAGTGTCTCCTCCTTTTGGCTCCAAAGAAGTGGAGCGGGGAGGGCTAAAGGTCTGGGGTGGAGATGGAGGTGTGTGTGCCTTTCCGTCCAGTACAGTCTGTCTGTCTAACATTGCCTTGTCAACAGGATACGACCTGTGTGTGTAAGTATGTGTGTGTCAGTGAATGCTATTGGTTGTGGGCTGTCCCAGGCTGAATCGATCACTCCCCCATCTGGCAGTGCGGCCATATTGCAGTCCAGCTCTGGCATTGACGGCCAGCTGACCGGCTGCTTGAGGTCACCTTCACATAGGCACGGTACATGTTACATAACTCTGCAATAATGTCTGAAATAATGGAGAGGCTGTTGTAGAGTATTCTCTTTTCTTTCTTGAAAACCCAGACTTTGTTATGTGAGGGATCCCCCCCCCCCCATAGG